CGCAATTCAATAAAAGTAGTGTAATTCACCCAATTTACTTCACTTAAATAAAATACTTACAATCACCCTTAGCCTTCTTCTCGACAACCTTTTTATAATCATCCAATTCCTCATCTGTAATACAGTCAAACGGATTTTTAGCATATGGGCTCTTATAGACCGTAGCGTTGTGTTGATGTCCTCTTTGAATAATGCCCTTAGAGGCGGCTCCCATCAAGACGACGTGATCTCCTAAAATATGACATTTTTGGATAATCAAGATACATTGACAGCAAGCATTTAAGGTAACTGCAGATTGAAATAATTCCTGCAGTTATCCGATTTAAGTTAGCAAGGAATTAATGTCCCCAAAAGTTACCTGTTTGTGTTATAGCAGCGTCTTGCATTTTGCGAGCTTCTTCCCATGTAACCCCTTCAAGAATATGGGATTGAGGGCCTGCGGAAATCTTGTCGGCACGTCTATAGTCTTTAATCTATAGAAACGATTTGTTTAAATAACATTCAAAAAATTACCTATTATATTTCTTACCTGCTGCTGCCTCTGCTTAAACTCTTTAGGATTCGTGCCCTTCGGTACGAATTGTAAAACATCGTCAATTCTAACCGGGGTACTGGAATGACTGGGAGATCCTTCCGCAACCCACTGAAACAGCAAAACCAGTATATCAGACTTCAACGTCAAACCATTAATTCGATATAAGTGATGCATGTGAAAAATATGAACTGAACTACATAAAGTAAAAAAGGTGTGCCTGTAATTTGTGCAATGTCAACAATCTTATGTACTGGTTTTGCTGTTACAACCCATAAAACCGAAAGAAAAGAAAAGAAAGAAAAGTGACAAAGGCACGCACTACGGACACACTTTTTACTTCAACCCGAAAACCAGGAATCAATTCACTTGCACTTGCAGTTGCAACACAATCTAGTGTTCACTAACTTAAACTGTATGTAATTATTATAATTAAATGAAATGAAAAAAAGACAGTGTTTCAGGAGGTAGCGCTCGTTGAGTAAAGCAGTAGGACAAAATAAATAATGTTTAACATTGGCTACTGTTGACCCAAAGTTAAGTAGTAAAACAAGGAGGAACTAGAAAACATTCGGAAATGCTTTAAGTATTAAACGATTAAAAAGAAAACTATGCAGCATATTTTCGAACATTTAATTTAGCATAAGCTAAGGCCAAATACACGTTTAAATATAGATAAACGTACTGCTGGAGACTAGAATATAATTATTGCAATACATACACGCTCTAAGCTAACTATGCCTAAAACAATAAACTTTGGGAATTATATCTGTATACCTAACCCTAATAATACCAATATTATCATGCAATTAGCTTAAGAGTACGTAGAATCAAGTACGATGTAAAAATATTTGGAAAAAATGGCACTTAGAAAATTATTAAGTCTTGTGAAATGGAATGACTAAAGAATCCAAATGGAATGACTAAAGAATCCATCGAACTTGAGGATTTAGTATGGAATGCAATTTTTAAAAACAATGAGTTGAAACAATAAGATGTTTTTACTACTTTGCTATTTGTATTTAACATCACACTTTCAAACCATCGAATTTCGACTGTACGCCTTGCTTATGGCAGCAAATCTAGGTCTATTAAAAGATTGTTCTAACGGAACATTTTGATCACCAAATAAAAAAAATTAAAATAGATGAAAAATAATGACAAAAGAATGAATTGTTAATTAAGCGACTTCTAATGATTACTGATTGGAATAACATTTCTCAAAAACATATAAAACGTATATCTTTAAAAAGTTATTAATATCTGATATTCGATTTGGAACTATTCGAAAGATAAAATTAATTCAACGCCGAAAATATGTAATAATTCCAAACGAACCTTTGTTTCAAGAGAACGAAAAGAAATTGCACAAATTCGATTAGAATTTGATCCACACAGAGTTGTTCAAAATTGTATGCAGTTATGCAACAACCTTTGGAGAGTATCGTTTAAAGCTACTAGTAGAACAAAAATAGATAAACAGGATTTCGATAAGTACAGTTTACTATTTTTTAAGTTTAAATGTGGCATGAATGTGAGTTAACTTGTATAATAATGTATAAGAGTTACCCTTGTCCAGAATATGGATATCGACTAATATTCGCCATTTTAATTAAAATGCGAGTATTGAATTAATATCAGTTGAGTAAAATATTGCATACTCGACAATAATATATATGTACTTATTTTCCTATCGCATATAAATATAATGTGCTTTCAAACCAATTTGATTACGTTTACTTAATTCTCTAATCAAAGCGATTTTAAAAAGTTCCAATGAATAATCTATTAATTTTTGTCTTCAAACTTAATAAATTCTACCTTAGTGATTTTCTTGGGGTCCGGAGTTCCTGTTTCTAATATTTCCACCTTCTGGTAGACGTTCGGGGAATTTAGCCAACGGCTTCGATCGTGTCCTTTTCTGCCTCCTTCCAGCTTTTTCCACAAACTGAAAGACAAAATATTTGAATAAACAAATAGCCGATCTTTATACAGTGTGTAACAATGATTTAGGTTCATCCACTTTTTGGACGGAACTGAAAAACTACCAAACTGAATGAGCTCATCTTTTTAGGAAATACGGCACATATGACCAGTAAACTTGCGGCAAAATGTGTTTTAGACAGCTTTTCTTTCAAACGCACAATTTTTTTTCAAATTAACGTATTTTCAGACCGTAACAATGATTTAGGTTTACTTGTAAAAATCGAAAGTTTATTATGTTTTGTCATGACTTTTTTTTGTTTTACCGTGTTATTTGTACTTTGCTAGAGCATAGAAGCCCAAGCTTATAAGCAAGTCGTTAAATTGTGAAATTGCGCGGTAGATTGTCCGTTCCCTTAATGTTGTGAATAATTTGTTCCGATTAGGCGACGAATACGGAAAGAAGAAGGCTCCGGGGAGAATTCCAATTCTCTCGGCACGCGAAAACTGAAGGATTAGAGCTGCAGCAGCAAATTCAACGAACGGAACCCGGCGGTTGCAGGAAGAATTTGCAACAAATGTGTCATATGAAACGGTCTGGATGGCTTTCAAAGACTCCCCTAATCTTCATTATGAGAAAATAACGTCGACTACATCGCTAAGCAAAAAATAATCAGCTTCTAAGAGTACAATTTGCCGATCAGCATCAAACGTGGACACCGCAATGACACTCGGTATATTCTTAGGTTAGTTAGTAGCTAAAATTAGTTCTTTTTGCAGATTGTGTGGTCCGATGAGAAGAAATTTAATTTGGATGGTCCAGATGGCTTAGCAAATTACTGGCATTATTTACGCGCAGATCCACGCTACTTTTCAAAGCGAAATTTTGGTAATGATCTGGGCGGGTTTTCCAGCATTCGAGAAGTCAAGTTTAATAAATTTACGATGCTTACAAGTGAACCTAAATCATTGTTACGGTCTGCAAAAAATTGTTTGATTGGAGAAAAAGCTGTATAAATCACATTTCGCCACAAGTTTACTGGTCATATATATCGTATTTCCTAAAAAGATGAGCTGATTTGGTTTGGTAGTTTTTGAATTAAGGCCAAAAAAGTGGGTGAACCTAAGTCATTGTTACATACTGTAGTTCAGTGAGATAAAAAGTTGTGGACAAATAAATAATAATTTTAAAAAATCACATGTATTTCCAACGGTTCTCAAGTGATGCTGTTAAACTGAGACCATACAGCGGATCAAATAACTTAATTACCCTTGTCTGTATAACTCTTCTTCTTCCAATAAATAACCAAGCGAAGAGACGGCTGGTGGAACTTCAACATCATTTCTAGGTCTGGGAGGTTCACCTTTGATAAGAGGATGACGGTAAATGTATCCTGTGCGAAATCCTGCATTGTCCATCATCCTCATCAGAGCTTCAAATTCAATACCTAGACCCAAAATAAAAAATAATTAAATTTGCCGATTAATGAGGGTTTTATGACGGACCTCCCACTCTCCATTTTCTCTCCACTTTGCCTTCCAGAATGGATGGTTGGTCGGGTCGGGGGCTGCTTTCGGGTGCTTTGTGGGCGGCATCGTAAATCTTCTTTCGAGCTTCGTCGTTAAGTAAATTTAAATTGTCTACGCCTAATGGAAGAAGTTTGAGCTGCGACTCGGAAGCTAGGATAATGTTTCTGGCGTTGAAGAATGCTTCTTCTATCGTTTCGCCACAGCAGAGAGCACCTTAAACAACAACATTAATGTAATCCTTAAAACTTCAATCAAACCCGACAATTTGCTTACCTTGGTTAGACAACAAAAGCACTTTGTTAATGGGTCCCAAATTTCTTGCCAGCTTATCCTTTTCATCAGCATCTAATAATCCTCCCAGATAGGAATATGTGCTGACTTCACCAATTACAACACTTTCTTGACTCAGAGGAATTAGACCAAGTTTCAATGCAGAAACAGCCACCACCGATGGAGTGTGAACGTGAATGATGCAGCGAAGATCTGGACGGGCCGCATGAACGGCCGCGTGCAATGAAAACGCAGTTACATTAACGGAAAAATTGGTCGTTCCTTGCTCCAAAACAGCCCCCTAAAAGCGGTAATTTATAAGAATAATTCTGGCGACAAACAAACGGCGTAACTTACTTGCATATCAACTTTTATGAGGCTGGATGCGGTCATTTCGTGGAAAAGCATCCCATAAGGATTGACCAGAAACTGTTCATTCTCCTGGTTCAATCTGGCTGTGATAAGAGTATTAGGGCTTTGCGTCCATCCATACAGATCAATCAGTCTGAAGACCGCAGCTAGTTTGCATCTCAGAATTTTCTCGCCTTTGGCATAGCCCATTGACTCAATACCTAAGAAATAATTATTTTCTTTTTGTATTGATTACAGCATTGTAAAACTTGGATATGATAACGAACTAAATATTGTTTATTAATTAAAACTGTTCTAGGAATAGCCAATATCCCAACTGTATAATTACAATAATTAATTAAAAT